ACTTTGGTACTTACAAATAGATATTAGACAAATGTTACTATTATATAATTATATTACAAACATCAACATAAATTAATTCATTATGTAATTTGTATAAATATTTGAATATACCTGCGTCTCTTCAGATGTCAAGCCTAGAAAACTTGGCCGACTATATGGTTTATTTCCACTTCCACTACATAATTAGAGTTAATATAATCTGTCATCACATCATTATCTGAATCATTGGGGTATTGTAGACCAAGTTCACTCGCGCCTACAGCGCTCATTAATACTGATTTCATACGATTAAACATGTTTCTGTTTTGACTTATGCAGCTGCCTCAAATAAAAAGTCAATTGACACTAGACTTAAAAAATAATATTGTCTATATTATGTTCAATCAGCATAGTATCAAAGTTTCATAAATATTCGTAATGCTATGTGCAAGTTTCAAAGCTGATTAATTGAAAACTTGTTCATCTGTTCTCAAAGACAAATTCTTAGATTAGAAAACCCATTTGAGATAATACTTATACTTATCATGAAGTATTTTTATATTTCTAATGATAGTACTTACTATAACTAGACATTTAATAATTATTTTTGATTAATGTCATCTTGTTGACAAACAGTTGTCAACAGAGAGAGGTTATATTGTATTAACTATTGCATTAAAATGACAGGTCGCGTCGACAGGTTCGTCTAGTGACATCTGCATGATACCCTTGATAAATCTTGATCGGAGTACGGCGTTGTTGGATTTTCCAAACGATGGCGCATCCTGTGTAACTCGCTGTCAAATTTATCGTAAACAAAACCGGAGCAGGAATTGTCAGTGATGTGAGAATTCTATTTTCTGCATATAATTTCTGCAAAACATAAATCACTATTTAATGTTTATTTGAAAAAAAAAACGGTATTGCAGTTTTCCAGTTTCATAAATAGTGATGATTCTCTCTTATCAATTCTATACATTTTAATGCGGGTACAAAAAACTTTTTTTCTTGTACTATATAACCTAAAAGGCGGTTGAAAGTACTATTTCCTCATCCGGGGAGCTTATCAAAACAAAAAAAATCGCCTATCGATTTTTTTCATTAAACTTTTTCTAACTGTAATTGACTTAATTTTTTACATAATTTTTTTTTCTTCTCTCTTTTATCAGACCAGATGACTATATATTTTTTTATTTAAATTTAATTTAAATTTAATTTTAGAAATGTAAGAACTACTGTTACAGCAAGATTATAACAGATCTATCAGTTTTCTAGAAAAAATATGAGAAAATGATTATTTTAAAAGTTAATTAGTTTATTTTAACTATGGTATTTGTGCGGAAGAAATTGTTTCTTATATAATATAAATATGTCTAAGACTAAAAACAGTATGGGCAACAACAAGGTAATTATCTTGTATTTGTAGAAAACATTTCTGTTTAAATTATAAAATTTTTATGAACATATTTTTATTGGAAATTGGCTTAAAAATAATTTTGTTATTAGGATTATAGTAGTGCGTCTTCTTATACATCTTCATCGTTATCATCAGATGAAGAAGAGATTGATGCAAGAGATTTAAAACCAATCAGAGATTATTTATCTGATCGCAAAGAATTAGCTCGACAGCTTTTTAGATCCGTGAAACCAGAAAAGATTCGTCTGATGCTGCCTCAAGTTTTAAAAGTGAATATAGCATAAAATGATTAATCTGATAGTATTTTTTTATGAAAATATCTTTTTAAGCATAAATAATATATATTATTTATTATTTATACAGCACATGGATTTAGATGAACTTGAAGAATGGTGTGAGAGTGAGTTAAATGGTATGTCTAAAGCTCGAATAGTATCTATCTTAAATGGTAAACCTATGTTGGAATCCTCGGACACGAGTGAATCTTCAGATGATTCAGGTATATGAATATTGTGATGATATAGAATTTTAATTTTATAGAATAATATTATGTGCTTATTTATATTTTCCATTTAATAGGACCTTCTTTAGAAATCATTTCTGACACAGAGGAATGGTTAACTGATGACGATACTCTTAAAAAAGAAAATAGTGGAAAAGGGAAGATAAAAAAAGACAAAACTAAAATTAAAGGAAAAATTAATAAGAAAAATAATGTCAATAAGTCTAATGTTAAAGGGAAATGTAATATTAAGAATGAAAATAATGATAAAACTGAAATTATTGAAATTAAAAAAGAGGATGATAAAGGAAAAGAGGGAGACAGTCTATTAGATTTATTAGAGCTAGAAATGCGAGCTCGCGCAATTAGAGCTTTGATACGAAAAGAGGAAGACATAATTCCATCTATTAATCCATCACAAACAAATGATAGCCAAACAACAGAAAATGATGTTGGAACATCTCACGATTATAAAACAAAAGAGAATTATCGTGAGCAATTAGAAAGAATTATTAGTTCTCAACAAAATAGTAAAGGCGAAGATGAAGATGTTGTTTTAGTAATTCCTAAACCTGCTCCAGTTGTCGAGTTATTATCTAGCGATAGTGATGGAGAAGCTGTAAATAATTTAAATGAAAATGAAAGGAATTCTACTAAAAGTTCACAAGATGTAAAGGAAAGAAAAGAAACTCAAGAAATAATAGAAATACATGGTAATTTAAATATGACAACTAAAACTCACTTAACTAACACAAGCGAAGCAATAATGCCTGAAAGAAATGTGGATATAAAAAATAATACATTATCAATATCAATTTCTGCAGATAATGTTGCTGAAAGGCGGAAAAAATCGAAGAAAAAATCACGTGGAAAATCGCAGCTTATTTCTACCATTGAGAAGTCTTCTGAATCAAAAGAAATTAATGTTATTGAAACTACGGAGCAATCACACAATAAAGATATTAAGATTACATCAAGAACTAATTCTTCTGATGAGAATAATATGATTGTTGAAGAAGAAAATAAGACAAGTCAAAAAATAACAGAGGAAAGTAAAATTGAAGAAGAAAGGTTAACAGATTTAGATGAAATTGATTTAGATGATTATTGTGAAGTTATGGATATAGAGAATAGTGATGAGGATAAGAGTCAAGATAAAGTCATTGCTCCTTCTCAACAAGAAAATAAACAACCTGTATCCCAAACCGCTCTACCAAAATTGGATTCAGCAGAAACTTGGGCATCACGCTATTATCAAACTGACGATGTCCAAAACGTAATAAAAGAATCGAAGATACAATCTGAAATTCGGAAACGTTTGAGAGAACGTCAAAGATTATCTAAGTTGAATAAATCACCAAACTTGAACTTATCTGCACAACCATCGACAACTGATGCACCTACTACATTAGAGAAAGCCCCAACAGGATCAGTGGAGGAATATTTGGCTTTGAAACGTTCATTGAATACAAATGTTAGTACTAATAATAATAATAATATTCCACAAGATAACCTTACGGCTGTTAATACTGATAATGATATTAAAGCAAAGGATACTGTAATACAAGATGAAAATATTTCTTGTAATCAAGAATGTATAGATAATGATAATACACCAAAAGTTATTGCTTCCGAAACTGTTATTGATAAATCAGCTGATACAGTTGGTGATATAAAAAATGATACATAATCTAATTGAATTAATTCAAGTTTTATTTAATATTAATATAATTGTGTATAATATATAATAGGTGTATTTTTCAAAAGTAACACAATAGAGTAGACACAATACAGGACACTATATATAAGGTGTTCCAAAATCGTTCGATGTTCTTTTAAGAACGGATTTTTTGGAACATTTTTATTTAAAATGAGAATCCTAATACGAAAATGTCAAAGCTATGTAAGTTTTTAAATTAGAAATTGAATTTCATGAATTTAGAACTGATAGTTTTGAGATATCTTGTATAATATATTACTTGAGAATGAAATTTTTAGACATAGAAAATATTTTGTTTCTTTTATGTAGTTATTTTGTATAATATTATATAATAATAAAATTTATATATTTGTGAGAAATGATAATGTTTTTAAAAATTTGTGGCATAATAATGATTGTACTTTAAAATTTATATACTATGTGTAAATCCTTTTTCAAATACATGCTTAACGTACTTATCGGAAGATTATTTTGATTTATTTTATAATGCAGGCACATGATCATAGTTTAAGGAAATATTTCAGGGATAACTTCATCACTGTCATTTTTTTTACAAATAAATTCACTTAATTGTTTTTCAGCAACGTCTCTAACATTAACTTCGACAGTGTGAACAATTTTGTCTTGCAACATTCTTGTTAACCAAGTCAATATTTTGGATGTTAAACTATTGAATGGACCTAAACCAGTCATTTTTATTTTGACTTTGCCAAGTTCTGTCACTTTGATGTATTCTAAATTCACGCCACATGTTTTATCATAATTAATGACCAATTTTGCCGCTATTGCTAATCCATTAACAGTTCCGAGTATATTGCCATCAACCGTAATTAAACCAACTTTGAGCTATATTAAGAACAAATATTATAATAATATATATTATATAATAATATATAATAATATATAATATATATTATATAATTTAATTTTAAAAAATTTGAATGGTTGAATTTTTTTATTTAATTTTTAATAATTCACTTGTATATGTATAAACTTTACCTTGTAGTTATTATAATTAAATTTTGCTGTGGAAAGTCCAAAACCGGTTTGTATAACATGCGTTTGTCCTACATTAGACATAATTGCATTTTCTGTTCTCTTCAGAGTCGAGAGATCTCTGAAAAATTAATTATTTTATGATGCAAATCATTTAAAAAATACACATATTGTTAAATATATATATTGGTAAAAAAATATATATATAAATGTACATATTGTTAAACAAAAAATACATATTGATTTTCTTGATTATATTATGAAATAATAATACTTACTGGAAGGTTCCATTAAATGTTTTAAAATAGCATTTCATTCCAAGTCCCATGTTATATGTTTCTGTTACATCGGGAATTTTAATTATGGATTTATTGTTACGCTTAATGTAGTTTATCATTTTTTTTGAGAAGGATATCCATGGGAATATTCATACTTAACTGTATATGAAAATTTTAATTATTAATAATTATGAATAAAATATAGTTTAAAAATAAGGAAATTAATGAGATTACATCAACTTTTAGATTGTTAGGACGAATAACACGAGGAATATTATATCCATATTTATCATATATATTGATATTTTGAAGGTCTTCTCTCTTTATCGTTCCTATTTTCTGACAAAGACGCTCTTTGGCACAAGACTGAGCGTAATAAATAATTGCTTCTTCTACATTTCTTGGTAGATTAGCGCTAAAAAATTATTTAGTGAATTTATATATTGTAAACTTTAATTTATTCATTTATCTATTGATTGAATTTGTATCAAAGCAATATACAGAATTAGCGATTGATAATTAGATCATGAAATTATATCTTTCGGTTATTTAGAATTTATATAATAGATTTTTCTTTGCCATAGTCTAATTTACAAATCTTATTCTGGAATAAAGTATTTTAATATTTCACTTTTATAATAGAACTTGAAAGGTTTTATATCTTACCTGCCTTTGATATTCGTCGGTAAAAATAAGCGACAGTCTTGGACTGCATAATCCTCTTTGCTTAGTTTCTGCAACGAAAGCCGAGGATAATAATTATTGGACGGGCGAACTATAATTATCTTACAAAGCGAATATAGTCGCGCTCAATTTTCTTCCGGTCGTTATTTAAACGATTACGGAGCGTTAAACTTACTTGGAGCGTGCCGATTCCTAAAATGATACCACTGGCATTCCAAGAAAGTTTTTCGGGTGAAATGTCTTGTTGTGTTACCGAATATTCAGGTGACATATATCCTGAAAAATATAATCCGTCCTGGATATTTCAGACTAAATAAAAACGTATAATAAACTGATAGAAAGATGAATATTAAAATAATTATACAATTGATTAATGAAGTTGTAAATTTATATAAATGACAATGGAATTAATTTCTATTTTGTTAGCTTCGATCGTTATCAATTAGTTAGATAAATATCTGTTTATAAGTGTTCAGATAATAATATTAATGCATAGTTTATCTGATAATATAATAATTGAAAGAGATATTATGTTTCAAACTCTTTCAGAAAAAATTAATACTATAAATTAATGAATTTGAAGAATTTTTGCTCGATCTATAATTTGATTTTCAATAATTTATGATTACCTTTGAATTCTATGATGGTTTCGTTGAACACAACGTTCACTGGCTTTATTTCAGGATAAGAAAAAATTCCGATATATGGATTGTGCCTGATTAATAATTCGGTGCCATATACAACATGCTCGTTTTCGATTATTTGGACCGTGAAACTATGCGGCTGACTGCATACTGAGACACAAACATTTTGATGGTAACAATTTTTACGGTTATTCGCGTGGAACCATTGATATTGATTAACGTCACGTAGAAATAAACTTTGAGCGATAGTACATATTAGATATGATTAAGGTCGTTTTGTATATAATTTTGATCACATGTCCCAATTATGCGGTAAGATAATTAGAACGGCCCTCACCTTCCAACTATTCGTTACGTTGCGAAAGCTTGGACGGAAACATTATTTTTACGTTATTGCGTTTAAAACGGAATTATCGTGATGTCGCAAATCCGACTCTGAAACTACGTCTCGTGTAGCGAAATTTTATCCCGAGCGGATGCAAATCTTTTTCAATTTGCAACTGGTATGTGCAACTATCAAATTTTGAATTAAGTTGTTTTTTTTATCGCTTATAAAAAGAGCTTATCTTCTTTTTATTTTATTATGATTAATCTTTAACTTTATCGCTCCATTTTTCTATGGTATAAATCATTTACGAAAGCATATATTGCATAATCTGCCGCTGTGGGCACTATGAGAGATTTTATATGATTACGTGAAAGGCAAGATCAAGAGAGAAAGAGAAATTGAGTTATACATAATAAATGATTTGCCATAGCACCGAACCTTGTATTATTCGATTAGTAAGAGTGCCCCGTTTCATAAATCGAGATTCGATAACGTGATCGTAGCGTGATAACGTACTTCCTTTTCCTAGCTCTTTATCGATTTTCGAAGGTAATTGCACCTTGGAAAGGAATTCGTTACGAGCGCGAATTCGTCGTATTCGCATTCATATTCTTTTAACTCGCGTACCCTCTCGTAATTTCTGCCGAGCGCGCTTAAAGAGTGACACCTTTTAATTAAACCTTTTGAATAAGTTTAAGCGATCTCCCTCCCCCCTCCCCCCCCCCCCCGAGTTGTTTCGCGACTCGGGAGGTTGCAGAAACGTACGTATTAATCTGCATATCATCGCGCGCATCGCGATGTAATTTTAAACCGCGCTATTCTCCCCAAGTGCAACATTACACGGCAAAGTGGCTAACGTTACGGGAAACCGAGTCGTGACGGCGCAATTTCCTTCGCGTTTATATCCTAGACAGAGGAACAAAAAGCCTCGCGGGAAAATCGTGCTCACGTGAGCCGGCCGGCAGAAGTAGACCGCGCGAAAGTCGATGCACTTTTACGCCGCGCCGGTAGTGATGCAGTAAGCGATCCTGCGCACGATCGAGGAAGTGCACAGAGTTGGCTGTAATGCGTAATCGCGGTTACTGTACTGCGAACAGTGTGCCGTACGGCGTATAATATTACGACACTAACACAGTGTGTACACAGGATTCCTCCGATTTTTTTTGAAATTTTGAAGTCTTCCTGCGATGAAATATAACGGATGAATTAATAAACGAGGAATCGAACTCAACAAAATGACAAAAAACATTACACAGTGTTATAAATAATATATTTGTACGATATTTATATGCTGATTTGAATTTTGATTAATTTTTCTTCAAATATTTTCTCTTATTTTTGAGTTAGTGATTGATTACGAATGGTAAAGAACGAACGTTTTTTTTTTCATTTTTTTCATAATTGTTTAACAATTTTTTATTTTGTAATTATTAAATTAAGTACGAATGATTTAAGAGTAAAAAATTTTAAAAAGGATATGTTTAAAACGGAAAAAGATCTGTATTGCTTCATTATTAATCAATTTTTGAATGATGACAAAGTAAGTTTAATTTTTGTTCTATCGAGTGTTTATATGCAATTTGTTAAACGGTCTTCTCTTGTGCGACGAAAGTAAAATTTATAATTTACGCGGACAATAGAGGACAATTATCTTAACGATAAATTTAACTGTTCTTTTTGCGACGCACTTTAAAAGTATTCCGAGAATTTATCTTTAGATATTACGTAAAAGAAATTAAAGTAACAACTTCGTTGAATTATTATAGTCTATTTGTGCCGATAGTACGATATTACTTACTTGTCAGCTCCGACAGCTCTCCCGTGGATCGATATATTATTGTTACCAGCGCAATTAGGAAAAACCACGCGGACTGGCTTGAACTTCTAGACAAATTTGCGACCATTTTCTACAGTTTAAAATTAAATGGTCAAGTTGAGAGAATATAAAGCTGTGACTTGCGGTTAACGTTGAAATCCGGTAGAAATTTAACTGATCTGATTAAACAATAGGCAGGAAAATAGAATATGATATGAATATTTTTATTAAATAGATTAAAAATAATTATATAAAATAATAGATTTTTAATAGAGCTTTAAATTTAAATAGAAAAACAATTTTGTTAATTATAAAAAAAAAGATAAAAATAACGTGTTGCAACTATATCCATTTGTTATTATATATGACATATTTTTTACAAATTTTAAAACTCTAAATAATAAAGTTTATGAAATATTTTGAAATATTTATGTATACGATTTTAACAGCAATACATGCATATACACGAACGGAGATACACAATTTTAACAAAAATAGAAGTATTCACTTACTTTATCTCGAGACTCGCTCGAAACTTATCGATCGAGTAAATAAATTTCGGTTTTTCGTCATATATTTTTTTTAATGACGTAAAAGATATTTCGGTTCTGACAATATTGACTCATTGATAAAGATTTATATACAATGAAAACGCAAATAAAAATTAATTTTTTTCTTTCTCTAGACGAAAAGATATTATGCAAGATATTAAGTTTTTTAATAAATATTTTTTTATTAAGTATAATATATAAAATATAAATAAATCTATTTTTATGTAATAAATTGCATGATTACACCTTTCATTGAAGCGCTGTAAATTTGGTAGATTTAACTGTAAGAATTTCGGTGCGGCTATGCAAAAATATCGTAGATTACCTTGAATTGCGAGCCAATTAGAACCGTCCAATTATACCGATTTATTATCGTCCATACGCTCTTTTCACTCTTTAGGGTTATTACCTTCGTATTTTGGATCGATAGCGTGGCAATTTACTTGGCCGCTCGGCTAACCTCGGATTTATTACCATTTCGCACGTACAAGAATTAACGTGCAATTTAGCTATGATCAATTACTTTTAATTGTAATAACAGACTAAGATATTGATTTATTTTTATAAATAGTTACTGTATTTATCGCAAAGAGAATATTATACGAAATATAATATAATAAATTATAATCCACAGAATGAAAGCTTAACACACGTTCTTTTAAATTTTTAGAATAGATATTTCGTATTAATATACATTATATATAATCTACAACAAGAGAATATTTGTATTCCACTTGTAATGTAAAGACATCATGTTTGCTACAAGATAAATATTCAAATGAGAAGTCATTTGTGGCAATAAGTAAAAGGAAGAACAAAAGGTATATCCATGATGTGCGCGATTGAATTTCTATAATAAAACAAATATAAACATAATGTCAATGATTGCATAATTATTTAATTAAGTGCATTCATGGAATAAAGATAATTCACTAATATTATAAATGTTATTATTAAAATGATGTTAATTAATTGCATTTCTTGCAAATTTTACTGCGTTTTTATTTTGAGAGACACATAATTAGCAGGAAATAAAAAAAAAATTGTAAAAAATGTAGTAATTAGGTTTTACATATTATCAGAGAACAATTCTGTTATAAACAAATTATAAACAAATTAAACAAGTGATATCTTTTAATATCATTATTATTTATTAACATGTTCCATTAATCAAATTATTATTGAAACAATTTTTTGTTCACGAAAAGCACATTTGATATTTGCCCTTTCTTTGATCGGTTTGGAATTCCTTCTTTTGAGATCGCGAACTTTTCTTTAGTTATCTTACTACGAAGGCATAGTTTTACCAGTAAAACGCAAACTTTCTACATTGTTGACAATATCAATATTAACATTACATCGATGATCATTTCTTTGTGCAAACAAGTGGGATTATCGAGGTGCGCGATAGAAAGAATTCTGATATCTTTATACCATTCGATAAAATATATCGAATAATGTATATTTTGTATAATTCCATTAAAAATTTGAACATTGCAAAATATAATTTTTAGATTCTGTATAATTATGTCAAACTGTTATTAGTACGCGATAAATTATATCTTGAAATTTAAAGTTCATATCAGATCTTTTAACGTAAAATTGCGTTTAACATGAAATATGCGTGCTAATTGTAGTATCGCCAAATTGCAATTGTACGCTACAATATCAGTGCGTTTATGCGATACGCATTTTTCACGGAAGGATAAGGAAATATCGCAGTCGCGAAAGTGCATGGAGCGCAACATCGTTTTCTGCCTCACTCAGCCGCGTCGCTTCTCCGCCCATGAGATTTCTCTAATTGAGCGCGATAAGATCACTGTCTGGAATCTTATTAACAGCACGATTGCAACGTAACGAACGTTCATAAAAAAGAACGATCGGGTATCACGCTCGCGCAAAATCACTACGTAAAATCACGGTTCCACGCCACATTTGTTATATCATAAATGAGCATTGTGCTTCTGGTTGCGTCTATCGCGATAGATTTGCTTGATGTAACGTTATCTTTCAATTCGGAATTAATATTGCCGATATTGACAATTCGGAATTAATATTGTCGATGTCAATGCCCTCGTTACGTATCTTTCCTAAGTTCTGAAGCAGATATTCATCGAGATTGATGCTGGAGCCAAGTCATGGTACCCTGAAACGTAACATGAAAAACATATCTTGTATAACATAATCAAGATGTCAAGGCGCGTGCATATATAGTTTTATTTAAATATCGTATTCAAAATCTAATTTAAAACATTTCAAGAAATAATTTCAAAATGTAATTTCATCGATATAATATATTTTTATAAAATAATATAAAAATATGATTTTCGTACTTTGTACGGGTTAAAACAAAACTAATGCAAAAGTTCGATAAACATATATAATACATTCTTGATATACTTATGCACTTTTGATTATCATCTTGGTAAAATTATACGTCTTTATGATTACAATCTTTACGATTATTATACTACAGTTTTACAATAGTTCGAGAATACTGAAGGAGCAATCGCGCGCTTTTCTTGAATGATTCGCCGCTTGTTGAGGAGAATTGCGTCATAGTTAAACGAAACGACGTAGTCACTATGCATTTACATACGCTTATTATATAACTCCGCATCGGGTATTGAATGTTTATAAATGTAATGTATGCACCTCGGTTTATTCGCGTATGCACATTTCGCGACTGGCCGAAGAAATCTCTTTTCCCTTTTATGCGCGAACTTCCTAGGCTATTAACTATGATTACCTGGCACGCAGCGTGTTAGATAACCCGGGATTTGCTCATCGACCGACAGCGTGTCTCGATCAGCGTGTAACACTTTTGCACACTCGCAAGAAGATAAATTTAGTCGAGGCTTCACTCAACGTCTGCCAGTCTCGCAGAACTATGTTTGTCGGTTTTCACATTTGTCTAATCGATTACATGCGCGATATTGAACGTCTTGCCGTTTCATGACTAATCAATTCGTGATTGTAACGATGCTAATAAAGTTCAGTCTGACGAACGTATCGCTCGTTGCGGCACCTAAACGAAGGCGTATTCCGTTCCTTACACTGAAAAAAATGTTTGGCTGGATTAATTGGAATTTCTGTTAGAAAATGGACAAAATAGAATTGCTTAAATCTGCTAAATTTCTGCTTAAACCTACTATAATTTTAGTTGAGGTAACAAGAATTCTGATTGATATAATCTGAATTTTCTGATTTGTCCATTTCCGACCAGACATTTTTCTCAGGATTAGGCTTTCGCCAAATTGCACACGGTCGGTCGGCATTTCTCGATGTCTACGAAACGAGCAAATACGTGACGATCTCCCTCGTCCCGACTTCCTTGGATTTTAAGATCGCTCGGGTGCTACCACGCCAGCCGCTTTCAGTTTCTAGCCTAGTATGCACAGCGGAAGCGGACTCAGCATGCGGAAGTGAGTTCTGGGGTGTGGTGAAACGACGCCGCTACTCGATCATACGATATCGGGACGAAAGTAAGAGAAAAGGAGGAGAGCCGCCGCACTCAGCCGATGTCGAGCTTGTATATCTCTTGTGCGGCTTGTTGTCTCTCGAGCCCACTCGGTTTACGCGCGGTGTAACCGCATATTAACGAGACATTCTATCGTCGGGACGAATCGCGCCACCGCAAGATAGGTCGTACATAATGGTCGTACATAAGATGCATGTAGGCGATGGAACTCGCGTAGCCGAGACGGTCTATAACCGTGGGAGGCAATTAGGTGTGCGTCCTGTTATTACAGAGTTAGCTGTAATCGTACAGGTAAGATGGACACAACAATGCACCGCGCACGGGAAAATTTGGACGTGATATGAAACTGGAAAACGAAAGTGTAAACGGGGCGCTACATTATTCACGTACGGCAACTTTTACGGAAAAGAATGTGAGGAAGTCTATTGACTTCTAACGATGCCGATTAAATTAAGAATAATCTAGCTATATCTTGCATTAGAGTCTAATTAGATTGGTCGGTCATTAAATTGAAAAATGTACAACAACGAAATTGCCCATAGCCTACGCTAAATCTACATTTACCGTCATTTGAACATAATTTATATACATTTCTCAAATATCTCGGAAGCACAAATATGTTTACGATTAATAAAATATGGTATTAAATGCAATCGAATAAAATGAGAGGCTTAATATTTTACAATTCATAGGCTGTTTCTGATGTACATATATTAAAACCGATTATTTAACGATTTCCATGCTAATTCACATTAGAAGTATTTATGTGCGTGATATAATTTAAAAAATTACGATATTTCGGGACACATTATGCACACATAGTTAAAGCAAACTCGCATGGAAAAATAGCTATCTAAGATATGTGTATTTATTTATAAATTTTGATAAATATCAGACAGATGTCGTAAACACGTTTGTGCGTAGTGTTTCGAAATTGGTTTGGCAACAGCCCCTTCCGATTTTTACATGCTACCTAGGAATGATCGATGGAAAGCCCTGAAAAGCCTCAAACGACGCAGTTGACGGCCTAATGACGTAGTCGCACCGAGCCGAATCCTTATGGCGCAAGGCGCGCATACGTCGTGCACGATGGCGCGTGATGCGTGTCGAAATTGTCCGCGAGATTAATTTCTGAAGGAGTGAGTGGCGAGAGGATATTCGCGGATATTTACCGCGCCGATTTTCGCACACTCTGACATTTACGCTTTCCCCTTCTCCCCCCGGTCCCTTTCCCGGTCCCATTTATCTTTAACGATTCCTACGAGTGACGCGTTTTCTATCTGCGGCACATATATGCCTCCTATGGTGAAACAGGTGTACCTCTCTTGGCACAACTCGCGTAATATCAAGGAGTGAAAGTTTCCTCGCAATTCTTCATAATCGCATAACGCGTCCGCGGCTAATACGTCTCTCTGCCGCCTCCTCTCCCAGCCCCACATCGATCATCACTCGAGTGTTTCATAAGCAATCGTTACGTAAAAAAAATACTTTATTCGTTTTTACATTTACATGGTGTATAGTACAATTCGAGGGTAGGATCACAATGAATACAATATTTGCATCGTATTTGACTCCTTTAGAACGATGTGGCAGTTTTCGCCGGTCGCTCCTGGATCCCACGATTCCTCGAATAGCTCTCCCGGTCTCGCACCGCGAGCCGATTACCGTCAAACAAATAGGGAAGATGACGATGCTTTCGTTTTTTCTCGCGATAATTTTTTCAATGATGCCCAAATCCGCCGAAATCACCGCCGCCAAAGTCGTGGCCACCAAATCCGCCGCCGAAGTCACCGCCGCCGAAACCGCCATCATCGTGACCCTTAACGATCACGGGTACAGGTTCCTTGACGACTACGGGTACCTTGATCGGATAGGGCACTGGTTTTGCCACCTCGACTGGGACCTTGACTGGTACCTTGACCGGATAGGGCACCTTGACGGGCACCTTCACGGGCACCTTGATTGGATAGGGCACCGGTTTTTCCACCGGGTAGGGCACATGTTTCGTGACCTCCACCGGGTAAGGTTGCGGTACGTGGACCGGATATGGACGATCGACAGGTACTTTAACCGGTACCTTCACCGGGTAGGGCACTTGCTTCGTGACTTCCACCGGATATGGGTGCGGTACCGGTACGTGCTTTGTGACCGTCACCGCCTTGATGTGATCAGTGGAGATTATCTCGTGGCCGCCGCCCAGACCACCTCCGAATCCACCGCCGAAATCACCCCCGCCGAAACCACCATGATCACCCAGGCTCAGCTCCAGTCCGCGCTTTGACTTTTCATCCTTGGGCTTAGCGCTAGATTCGGTCTTCTTCGCCTCCTCGGCTACGACCGATAATACTAGGCCGCATAGGAATATCACCTGTCGAAAGCAAAGAAATGAATAAATCGCTTTGATTTTTGATAAATCTTTCAAAAAGTGATCGTAAAATTCAAATAACGTATGTAAAATATAAGCTTTGTTATAGTTTATTTTATATCTTAATTTTTTCCGGGATGTTAATGTTTGCAAAACTTGATTTTACCTTGTTGCAATGATTTTATGTGAAATTAATTTTATCATTTTAACTAAATAATACAAATTCTCTACATAAAAAATCATACAATCAAATACATCTAAAAAATATTAACAATTTTTATTTGTGATATTTCTTCAGCATGGTGTGAAAAACGTTAAATACATTTTTAAAAAAATAATAAATTTGAAAAATATATTTTCAGAGATCTTTTTGAAATATCGATAAATTTGGAAACAAAATGGAATTTATTTAATAAATTTAGAGCATATATTTAAAACATATAACTCTACGCTGAAACTTTATGCTATTAAAATTTGATGGTGAAATTTATAAATACAATTTATATATCGACAATGAAAGTGAATCTTTAATGGAATTTTTAACGACTTCGAGCTTGAAATGTGATGTAGAAATTAGCAAAATTTATTTTTATGGCTATTCGTATTTATTAGGAAAGTGAGGCTGTCGTTTAGAAATGAGAGATCGCGTCTGCGACGCGTTGCACTCGGCTAAATGTGGATCTTGTTTCTACAAACGGCGATTCGAGCGGCTATCTTATTGGAGCTACTCACTTTCAGCTTGTCGGTGCCGTTCATGTTGGTCGACAGTGAGCACACTGGTACCGCCATGGTCTACCCTCGCTTTTATAGAGGACGCAACGGTGTGTCCGCTGAGCAACTCGAGCGTGCCGATGAAATTGTCGACGGGTAGGAAGTTAACAGGAGGAAAGGAAGACAACGCGCCTTCGCAGACGACGCTTTTCTCCGTCTGCCTTTGTCTTCGCATCTGTTTTCTCTTTGTTTTTCTTAACCGTCTCGTCGCATTTTCGAGTTCGTTTAATTTCGAGACAGAAACGCGTTTCTACGATGAAACTCGAAAAAAAAATCTGTACTACTCGATACGCTTGCGTGACCTCGCATAAACTTTGCAATAGCAATATGTATAAGCAAACAAAAAAAAATATAAATCGTCTACAACTGACTTCTTAAATTATTAATTTATACTTTTATTTTTATACTTTATTTGAAATATTTATATTGAAATTAAATTTGTTTTATTTTAACAATAATTATATGTATTAAATATACAATATTTTTTCATTTACAACATTTTAACACTTTATAAAACATAATCTGATATAAAAAAATATTAATTTAATTATTTTTTATATATTTCTTTTATAAAAAGAGTTTCCTATATAATTCTTAAAATTTTAATCAACATTTAATTTTATTAATACATTTTATTGGATGTTTTTTGTAACGCACATATTATTGTAAAAATTTTAAACACACAAACTGATAATGACATTACAGCAACAATATGATTATACAATCGATACTCGATCTTTTATTATATATGATATATAATATAATTTGATTGCTAGTATTCTTCTGTATTTTTACGCCTTCGAGAACTTCATAAATATTAAAGGCTCAATTAATTCGAGAAGAAAGAATTGAAATATTTCGACATGAAAGTACTCTCCCTTATTTGCCTTCTTCTCGCTACTCGTGCCGGATATACGAACGCGTTGAAACATTTGCATTTGGTCTCAACTTGTTCGAATTTAATATACTCGCCTCATTTCCATGGTCATAGCACGTTCAGCCGGCGTATTATCTCTTTTCTACAATTTCGCGTGCCGCGACATTTGTCGCCAAGAAGAAGATAGCCGTCGTCACTAGCCGTGAAATTAAAGAGAATGATTTGAAGATGTTGGTACCGTCGTTTTAATAAGAAGTTGTTGGAACTCGTTAACGCGACCGGATAAAATTCTTGCGCACCGGAAATGGTTTTCATCGTGAACGTAGAAACTCGGTTTCACTTAATGTATAATGGCGGCTTCGATTTTTGGTTTATCACACGTATCTCCCGCGGGTACAGTTAATCTCGGAATGACTTTGTACCTCGATCTCGGTTCGAAGAATACTCGCGTATCCACAGTTTATCAAGGTTATCGGTACGAATAAATTTCCATATATCTGAATTTGGATTTCCATATTTGAATCCGAAAATATTGATTTGACTTCTAGCCGGATAGGAACGTGTTTCGAGAGGCCGAGCGTTTCCCTCCCTCTCGATTGGCCGTCAATCGAACCGCAGCGAAAATCGAGGGGGCGATGTATGCGATAGTTTCCACTTGACCTATACCTGGGGATTAAATCGTTTTCGATGAATTTATAGTGATTCACAAGAGACCACAATCTGCTCGCGCTACTGTTTTCCGACACGATCCTGAAATCCAACATTCAACGATTTTAGGCGTATCGAAAGCATCGATCGAGGTTTTCTTTCTACTTGAGAGTTTTGTCGCGCAGTGTCTTTTAGTCTTTTAGTAGCAACTTGCTGAAAATTGGTTTTCTTAGCATATATTTGCTGCGAAATTTCCCTTTGAAAGGTTCTCTTGAAAGGTATTTATTGTAAATCGTATATTGAGTGATAATGGCAAAATCTCTACCATAAAGAGTGGCGAGCGTTAATTAGCTGAAACATCGCTTCTGGCTAATTGACAATTGCGCGAGCGTGCGTGACGGCGATCCATTAATTTCTAAAGCCGCAAGTCTAATTCATTGAATTTAAAACTAATGACACCCGCTGACGCGGAGATGGTTAATTTTCTGTGGTATTTACTTACTTACTTTAAATCGATTATTTGTATATGTTTTTAGCGAGCAATGGCGACAGCCGCGTGTAAATCGCTCGACTATTACTGATTGCTGTTTGTGTTGTATGTATATTTCAGTATAACATATATAGTAAATTAAAATTATTATTTATATTTGTACATTGATATACACATTAATTACATTATGTGTATATGATAGTTATATTTATATAATATGCTATATTAAAACTAATACGTACGTACAATATATTACTGATATTTTAATATCTGTAATATATTTGATTGAAACGACTTTATTACAAAGTAAAGAGACAGTTTTTTTATATAAATTTTGTTCGTTTAATCGCGATGCTTAGTACATTCACATAATGCTTTAGTTTTTTTCCCAGGTCAACTTCTCTGTGCACTTATTGTGTCATAAGTGCTTTTGCGCAAAATGTTATTACGTTCTAAATTACATATACGAACCGCGCGATTTTAATTGCAAAGTTATTTGCTCGAAAGTCTTCCTGCAGCAAGAATAACGTCAGGAAACTGTTGAGCCTACTCGCTATACGAATACCAGATTAAATCTATCGCGGTGAAAACTTTAGCTTGTTTCTTTTTTCTTTTCTGTTCGAATGATTGTAATAACATTACGTATACGGAACTTCGCGAAATAAGCCAGTCGATTATATTTGCCGGATATAATGCAAACGATACGTGTTTATATCGAAGCTGGCGATCCCAGCGGTTATACACTTTCTACCAATCTCCCGATATTTATGGGCCGCAATTATATAAATTTTGACGCTTTCTTTTGACAAATCTCGCTTAGAAAGCTTTTTCGCAAGACCACCACGAAAGCTGCATTTGATCTCATACGCAAACCAAGCTTATGTATGCGCCATATGCAGATTTATCCTTTGCACGTTAGCACCTGCGTCTAATGTCAACTTAAATGTCTGCGTCTAGTGTGCACCTTTTCCTCGCCCAAAATTCATTAAAATCATAGAGTTGACGTCATAAATTTAATCAACGTGATATCTTTTTTTTTTTAAAGTGACTTCGTTTATATTTATGCGAATTGATTTTGCGCGAGGAGGCATCCCTGAAGCTATTCCCGAAGTCGCGCGACGCAAACTTTCAATTGACGACCCTCATCTCGGTGGAATTATTTTTTTTTTCGGAGTTTTAAGTTGTTTGAACTTTAGACCGCGAGGGAGGACGGTAACGGTGGTGTATAAATGCGTCCTAAGTGCACCAGTGGATTCTCGCGCGTTACGAGACGACAGTGCGGGCGGACGTTGTCGGCAGCGGGATTCGCGTAGTCTGCATTTCTGCTTCACCAACCGCAAGCGTAACTTTATGCAATAATGGGAAAGGCTTTGGAGTCGACCAGACCGCGGTTCTCATGAATATATGGATAGATGTTTTCGCTCAAGGTGTTTATCAAGCCGTTTTCCAGTTACGCCTTTTCCACTCCCACAACATCCTCATCGAACACACAAACGTAATTTGCGCCCTAAAAAGATGAAAGGGATCTTTAGTTCCCCGAAGAGTTTTTTTAACGTTTTTTTTTTTAAAGACCTGGATACATATCTTGCATGTCTAATAGCAATTGTTTATTAATTTTGGTTTGCTTGTATTTATCTTTTTTTTTTTCGTTGATTGTGCGCTTACTAATCGTGTTGCGATAACGTAAGCGTACATATTTTATGCACGGCTAATTTTATGAATATTTACTAATAATTACTCCTTGGGATTAGTAAACAGACCTCCGCATTTATTTTAATCATTAAATTACCAATAGAAATGTTTACATATTACTCTTAGAAATAAGATAAAATGCAATTTAATCATTAAACATTAAAAACTACATATAAAAAGAACGCAGGTAACAGCGGCAAAAACCGCTTGCGTAAGTGGACGCTTATAAATGAGATTATAAGTAGGTTAACCTAAAAAGATTGTACCGAATATAAAATACTTTATTAGGCTACTAAAGAAATGATTTTTGACTCTCTCTTTTACTCGCATTTTACTTTTGTTTTAAATTAAAGTAAAGTGTATCGCAGGTACTATAATTTATTCTTATTTTTTCTAATTATTTAGCTAATAAATTATAATGAGTTTAGATAAGAGAAAATTAAATTAACAGTACAAGCAAGCGAAGCGTAATGGCAGATATATAAAATGGTCTATGATTTTAATAATTAACTATAGAAGTAAAGATTATCACATCATATACCGCATTATATGCAATATAGCTGTTCAATTATCACATACATTTTAGTCGAGAGAGTTCAACATATTAAATAAAAGTTTAACTCGGTCAAATGAATTCGTAATGAGCTTATCCTCATTAAACGAAATCTGTAGTGACCGATCCATTAAATAATCGATACAACTGTTTACTGAATAATGCAAATGCTTGCAGTATATTGAAACTTTGCGATGGCCTGTGCGAAATGTAAATATTTATTTAATATGCATATCGCGCATCATATCTAGCCTATAATTATATGATCAGTATATTAAATGAAATGCTATAATTGCATATTCCTTGCGTGGTAATCATTTTCGAATGAAACATTCCGCGTAAGTGAGACCTTTCGCAAAGATGTCATCAGAAACATGTTTATCTTAGAATTGCATTAGTTCACCCAGTTGCCAATAAAATGTCACCCGAGAATGATACAAGTAAAAGTTATGTTTAATGCCAAAGTATTCATGAATCGATTATGAAAGTGGTTTTAATAAAAAGTTACTGCGTCAGTGATTTAAAGCGGTATACGTCTTTCTTTGTAGGATCTGATAACTGTATATTAAAATCAAAGTATATAGTGTCAGGAAAATGGGAAAAACATTGCCTTCATTTCGACATCAAATGATTCAGGCGTTACGTTATTAGCGACGCGGTCGATTGCCAGTTTAGACCTTCGATTCCTTTGCGTGTTAAAAGATATTACTAGAATGTAAAACTTGACGAAAGCGATCGAAAAGACGACGATATCGCGTCGATTGCTTCACGACGTGTTGAAACACAAATTTTCACGCCGTCTCTCTCATGGTCATCACTCTGTGTACCATCGACTTCATTGTTCGAGCATTGTAGCGCGTTAGCAACTTCCTTTACGTATATTACGACTTTACTTTTTAATTAAATGATCATCGAGCATGATGCCGGGATATGTGACGTGCGTGTCACACGGAGAAAGTCTAATCGCTGCACCGTTTTGTATGTGTGTCGTTTCACACTAGGAATCCTGTCATGCTCGTGGGTCTTCTTAGATTTTATACGACGCGAGCCGTTGAAATCGAGCTGGCTCGTAAAGTTGGTCGTGGATTAATTAAGGAGGATTTCGATTTCTGCACGCGAACGTAAGTCTCGTTCCCCGAAGTGGTATAACGCGCTTTAGTTTTCACGAGAGTTATGCGATGCCGAAAAGTTTCTTCCGAGTTCGCGGCGATTAATTGCCCGGTGAATAGAATATATTCATAGGAGTCACTTGAGATTCGAAAGGTTCTATGAGTGCCAATAAAATGCTTCTCGAAAGTGTGCGTACGCACGAATGGCCGTCGCCGGGACCGTCGAATTAAATTTAAGATTGTGGCCGATTGCGCGCTGTCAGTTTAGATTTAATTCGAGCGCCCTCCATCATATCCACTTGATCGAAAATATGGGCATTACAGGCTGTTACGTCTGTTAACAATTTCCTTGAAACTTCCGTAATAATTATAATATTACTGCAAATGTGAATTTTGTTAATTTCAATTTTTTAGAGATAATTATATTTTGCTTCTTAGGAATCGCGATTGATAAATGGTGCAATTTACGTATTACTTGTTAACTCGCTTGTCATTATCGAAAATTTCTGAATTTTTCCATCGACGGTGAATAGCGCTGCGTTGTGTAACGCGCTGGGAGCTACGATCGCCGTTATGTACGATAAAATTTACGCGAGTCACGAGCAAAAAAGAAAAAAAAGAACAGGTCCGGCACGCCCGTAACGTTTCTGATGTCCAGGTGAAAGAAAGAAAGAAAGCACGGATTAGGGCCGGGCACGCGAAAGAGTTCAATTCCGGACTCTTGAATTGCGGCTCTTCCTTGGTGAGGGAAATAGCGATTGCTGCAGGTAGTCGGAACGACGGGGCGGCGACGTTACGCGGCTCGTATCCGGGCCGGTAGTAACCTCACCGGGCGGTAGCTCATGGGAAAATGGCTTAATGCTGAACGGTTTTGTGCAGGATAGCGGCACAATCGGCACCACCTTAAAGCCGGCGTTCCGGCGTTGGACGAGCGATTTTCTGGGGAGTGGGCCAGCGAGCACGGCGAAAGTGCCGGTATATATGCCGCTGATTGGTACGATGCAACTTCAGTGTGCACTCTCGAAGGCTACCATGAGCACTTCGCAGGTGAGCTCGCGCCGCTGGCAGCGGCGCGTACACAGGACTCTGACGAGAGTACCTTTAGGGCCTCGCGCGGCAAAGGATTATGCACGGAATTATGCGCGATATATATGAGAAACGCGTCGGGATTTAATATTGACGGCGTGAGATTACGGTGTTACATTTCTCGCCGTTGAGATATAGTGTTAGATTCATAGAGATCGTAGTGTGATTTTTTTTTCTTTGAAAAAGTGAAATTTCAATAAATTTAAATGGGAAAATGTTTAGATTTTTTTTTTTTTAGGAAATTAGATACTATTAATTTTGTTTGTATCTCGCATTTATCGATGTTCGTTAACTTAGCTCCGTTGCACATCGAACTTTTTTCAAATAAACTTTTTTTTTTGGGTTTCTTGTATCGTAAATTGTTAAATCTACATAGCAAATGAGACGTAGAATTTTTATTAATTCCTGCGAGACTCTCACAGCTTCTCGAGTTAATCAAATTAATCTAAGCCTTGACCATGAAGAACCGCAATTAACACACGTTTATTCGCAGATCCTCGTGCTCCTCGCCCTTGTGGCGACAGTGGCTCTGGCCACTGAGACCAAGAAGTCCGACAGCAAAGGGGCCGTCGACTCAAAGGATGCCAAGAGCAAGCGCGGGCTGGAACTGAGTCTGGGTCATGGTGGCTTTGGTGGCGGCGGCGGCGGTGGTTTTGGTGGACACGATTTCGGCGGAGGATTCGGCGGCGGCATTGGCGGAGGCGGCGGCGGCGGCATTGGCGGAGGCGGCGGCGGCGGCGGTGACGGTGGACGAATTTCCGGCATCACCATCCATCGTGAGGTCTCGGTCCCAGTTCCAGTACCTTACACGGTTGAGAGAAATGTACCGGTACCTGTACATGTACCGGTGAAGGTGCCGGTGGACAATCCAGTACCGTACCACGTACCAAAGCCTTACCCGGTCCCGGTAGAGAAGACCGTACACGTCCCCGTGGAGAAACCGGTCCCCGTACCCGTCAAGGTGCCCGTAAAGGTGCCCGTGAAGGTGCCCGTTCCCGTTAGCATACCTGTCAAAGTACCTTACCCCATACACAAGGAAATACCTTATCCGGTCAAGGTTCCGGTCGTCGTTAAGGAATCATATCCGGTCTTGGTGGAGAGTGGTCACGGAGGCGGTGGTGGCTTCGGCGGAGGCGGTTTCGGAGGTGGACACGGTGGCGGATTCGGCGGCGGATTCGGCGGCGGACATGAAATCAGCTTCGATCTGCATTGACAATAGTCTGACATCAATCGATATTAATGATACTCTTGTATATAATAATTATGTTTCTTTTTTTACACTGTGCTGTCTTAGCAAAATAAATACTAAATTATTAACACAGCGTTTTGTAAAAATTGACGTTACCTTATCCTTTACGATTTTCATCCGCGCGAGAGTATTTGCGTAAAGTTGAATTTTATTCTAGGAAAATGAAAATTATTTCTCCGAGAGTGTTCGCATGTATTCGTAAAAGTTGCTTACTTGTTTAACGATTTGTACCGCATTGCGCAATCGTAGCGTATGACAAGAAAATAAATCGTCACTTTAGAAGTTTATGAAACCGGCTTGTTGAATTTTGTTACATAATGCAATTGCGAGTTATCATAACTGCTACGGTATAAACCGAATCTTAGTTACTTCCTGTGAAATTAAGCAGAACATATTACAATGTGGTTACCAGGCGACATGTGAAAGTATCTCAACCGATCATTACGGCTGTTACGATTTCACACACAAGCTAGATGTACTAGGAAGCTTATTATCTATTTAAGGATTATACGGTAGGATATCATGAAATTACTTAAGTATATGAAATTATATTTCTTGTTATTTTTTATTATTCATTTAATCGTAGAAACTAGATATTTACGATTGATAGATTTTGAAAGTAAATGATTGAAAGATCTGGGAGCTTATTTCCTAATTTCATCAAAGTTTTGTACATAAATTGTTGTTGTTATATTAAAATACAATTTATTAATTGATTAATTACGATAGAAATTTGCGTTTAAATTGATGTTAAATGTAATTGGCAAATCACGGTGTATATTTTTTAGATATTATGTTCTAAGGTAAAGTCAAATGATGTCTAGCAGTCTACCAGTCAGGTTTCCTTACCCGACGTACAAGGTAGATCATTCCACAGTCAAGGTTGCTAGAAGAAATAATATCGAGTATTTGCCTCAGGCAGTTCATATTCAAACGTACATAGAAATGCATGGTATAGAGATTGCACGGTTTCTCTCGATGAGGAGAAGCCGGCTTGTGAACGGAAAGAGAGCGCGATTTCCGTAATCTTACTTCCTTGATGGTAACATTTCTCATCGGCCAACTACATCCAAGACCATCGACGTTACGTAAATAGATCGATCGATCTTACGTAACTATTACGCAAAGAAAGTAAACACCTTTACTATTAGCGAAATCCGTAATGACGTTGTCGAATTTTATATTGGCAATCTGTAACGTTTCACTCAGCGAGTTAATTAAGTATCACTTTCATTTATAATCTGCGCCATCGCTGATATGATGCGGTTTAGATGCGTGCGATACTCCGTTTTCTTTTTATGACTTCAATGATAATTGAAGTCAATCTCGTAATTCGCATTATATCAGGTCATTTACGAGCGACTCAACGCTCTGATTATTTTTCAGCGCGATATAAACGAATAATTGCGATATCTCTATTAGGAGTCTGAGTATCGGCAAGCTGCGACCGACGAATAACTTGCGTTAACCCGAGGCAATCGTTATAACGGTGCATGGAGGAGATGAATCGGAACCACAATTTGTCCTTGTTAGAAGCTCTCGTTCTTGAACTAGTTCCCTTTATGCACAATTATTATTACATGCTATCGTTAAGGAAGGAGAGGAAGAAGATTCCATATAATTCTTTATGCGGCAAACAACGCGTTGCATATCACGATATACATTATAATTTAATTTAACCTGTGTAGAATGTTAGAGATATGTTCGCCTTTTGCTTCGTTCCTTTTCATCTAAATATCACATGAAAAATAAAAATTGGTATGCGTAATTAATTTTTAAGAGATTTGAAAATGCTGTGTAGTAATTAATAGATGGTTAACGTGATTGAACCGTTATAATAGAAGATTTGATGAATTTCTCATAAATAAAATTATAATATGTGAGAGCTTTATCAAGTAGTTTGAAATTAAGTTTTGGATAAGGAAAAAAAATAACAAAACACACATACATAATAACATTAATACGCATAATTATTTAGAATTATCGAATGTGAACTTTTGTAAGTGAAAAAGATGAAGATAATGGAGAGAGCAAGTGTCACATAATTTTACTTTGCACCAGAATTGGAATTTTTTCAGAGGCAGAGAGATGTAATCTATACGTTATATTGAAAATATGTTGTTCGGTTTAATGGAAGGGACATCACAGAATGTTTAGAGAAGAATAGTTTACCAAAGAAAAGACAAAGAAGAACGCAAGCGCAATAGGAGGCGTCGCGACATCTCGTCAGTCTAGCGACATCGCCACCAACATCCGGCGTTTTAAACATCGCCATTTACCCTCACGGTTCGTTAACCATGTGCCCCGCATTGGGATGGGAAATATCGTCCGTAAAACATGAAGCTTTATTTCAATACGTTGTTTGACGTGGAATGACGTGGTTGGATAGAGAAACTTTAATTCCGTTGTATTTGTGAAATGAACTGACAAAATTCACGTAAATGCATTAAAGTAAATCTATTTTGAGATTTCATTACGCGCGTTAATATGATATAATGATATTATATAACACGGGAACATACCAAGATTATATTATTATATTTCCTCTCTTGGCTGTATTTCTTTATGCTACCGAGAGAAATATTATTGTTATTACATTTTCTACTCACTGCATATCTCACTACATAATGGAGATTTGTTTATTTTACAGTAACATAATATATATTAAAAAAAACACTATACTATTGTTATATATTAATTTGCCAGGATATTTATTTTAAAACAGAATTATTATTATAAATATATAAAGGTAAGTTCGGATGATAATAACTTTACGTACAGTTTAAATATATCCTTTCTCTTTTCTTTTATATCTTTCTCTCTTTTTATATATCTTTATCTTAAATTTTACTATGCTGCAATCTTAGGCAATTAGTTAGCAATTTTCCACTTTGCAAAGGTAGAACTGTACGGTATCATATATGCCGCAATCTTGCTTCAGTGAAACTGCGTAAGGAACCAGCGATCGTTAATGTACATTTCGTTAGACATGCATTGAGGTAAGTGCGCTCTAAATATGGTCTATAACAGAGCGACCTAAATAATACTGGGAAATAAGATGATAAATTACTTAAGAGATAAAGATATTATTACCTACATAAAATATTATAATATTGAAAATTCTAAAAAAAATTATAAATGTAAGAAAACAAAAATTTGTATCTATCACTTTTAAAATAGAAAATAATACATTTTTTTGTTTATTATGTCTGGTCAAATTATAATGATCTGTATAAGAAGAGATGTATTAATATAGATGTATTAATATAATTAAAACATGTGTTACATAGTTAAATATGTAGAATAATATTTTCCTCGTATTGTTACATTAGCGAAAGCTCATAGTGTTTTAACGTTATTTCATTTTGATGTTACAATCTTAAAATAATGTCTACGTTTTACTTCAAGTTTGTGTTCATGTAGCGTCGTAAATCAGGAAACGTGATCTAAAGACTTTCTCATACAGTTTTACCTTCATTTTTCATGATATTCCGTATTTCAGAACAGATGTTCCATTATCCTGAAACTATCTATTTTCTTCGGTTTTTCTCTAGGTACATAACAACAATGATAATCAGATAAATTTTCTAACAATTTACATAAAATATGAAATGATTTATTTATTATTTTTTATATTAAAAAAGAGTTTTAGTCCATCTTTATCCATCTTAATTATGGTTCTTACATGGTTTATTTATCATTAATATTTCATTAGAGATTATTAAAATAAAATTTGAGATCTTTTGCCATGGATATAGCAATAAATGTTCTTCATACGTGAGTTAGAAAGAGAGAATTTACAGTTAACTAATTACTAACTGAACAAGTAAAATGAAATTTCGTTTTCAACTAACGATCTCTTGCTTTATACTTGTTTTCGATTGGCAATTAATTAATTGTTGCTATTAGCAAAATCTGACTTATGATTAATATTTATTTAGGTATTTATTATTTATTGATATTTATCAATCTATTACTACAAAATTTATCTTGAAGAACTACTGATCATTGATTGGTCATATAAATACAATTTTCAGACTGGTTTAATTTTATTTATACAACATTAAACAAAGAAACATCCTTGTTAACTCACAAGGTACACTTGACAGATTACCAAGTTAGCAAAGTTTTCTTTAATCTCATTCTTTTATGATGTTTGTGCAGCTGCACCTATCAAACATAAAATTGCGTTTTTTCTTCTACATTTACTCCCACACGAGGTTTGTCTGTTGCCAGTAGTGAAGAGAAAGGTGCGACAGAGAAAAGAAATAATATGGTATACCGCAAGTGCTAAAGCCCGATTGATTTGAAATCGGCACTGGTACATCGAAATCGCACTTTCCGTCTCCTTTCGCTCTTCCTTCTTCCTCCTTGTTGCTGTTAATGAGACATCGAGAAGCCTGAACACTGAGAAGCCTGATTAAAGCCGTTCCATAAACGAGCCTGTTTACATAACTATAATAGTACAATTATTAGATATACTCACAATTTAGTTCCTTCATCTTACCTTTAAAGTCCATTTTTATTCTCTTCTTTCTTTCATATTCCTTATCACTTTCCTTTTTCCTGTCTCTCTTTTTGCGGTGTTTCCTTCTCTCTGTATTTCTGCCGGTTTCATTGTATCTGTGTTCATAGATTGGATGGCATTATATAGCTTGACGAACTTAGAGCTGAATTAATTGTTACCCCTTGATCTCATCTCCGGGGGATATCAGGTGAGATACTCAGAATGGGATTTCGTATCTTGAGATGCGGACAGTTCAATAGCTACAGCTTGATAGAGATCAATTGGGACTGTCTTCGGAGAAACAGCACGATTACTCGTGTCTAGTGGGATAACTTTTCTTATTAGTTTCTTAAATAAATTAGGATACACACATAACAATCTATTCAAAGAAGTTTTCTCGATATCTCTCACCATTCTTTCCATATCTGATTTGTTATGAGATCGAATCCTCTCTCTGAAGTGTCTTGCGAAACACTTGGTAAATGTCTATTCCATACAATAAGAAACTCAGTTTCTCCGGAAATAATTTTCACGAGCGTGTTAAGTAACGAGCGTTATTGGTGCTTATAGACAACGTACACGAGAACGGCTTGTGTCCTTGTAGGATCTGCGGCTTCCAAGCTTTACGGACCCATAAATCATACATTAAGCTTGGTTCATACCAGCAGCTTCGTGTTAATAGACGCGTAATATGCGATCGCTCGATTTCACGGAGCTCGCCACAGCTGCTGTAGCAATGGCTGATATCTCGAGACAATGTTCTATCGAATCGATAGTCAAATTGG